GTGAGCCGTATGGCCCTTGGTGTTGCTGGTTTTAAACTGTCCTAGCTATAAGATACTGCGTATTAATGATTAACGTCTCCGTGGGGTGGTCCAATAAATAATCTTATAATATTCACCTTTGGTTGTTTAAAAAAAAAAGAAGATTATATAGTATCTTTGTCTTGAGTGGGCTTGGTAAAAAAGACAGATTGAAATGCCTCACTCCCCATTTACTTCTTGCTGAGCAGTCTTGCCCCCTGAACAATAAAAATCCAACTGGAGGCAAGGTTATGAGGATGTGCTGCGGTCCGCCAGCCGGTCATAAACTACAAAACACGCCGGTTAAGACATATACATCTACCATTGAAATCAATAGTGATAGGGTCAGCGAATGTCACGGCCAGGGAGGTTAAGACGCCACCAGGGCTGGTCTTAATATTTTTGGCACCCCCAAAATGCTGAAAATGGTGGCGCCACTTCCACGTAAAAAAATATTCATTTAAAAAAAAAAAATAAAAAAAATAATTCAAAACGGCGCCTCCAAGAATTTGGTCGTCCCGGACAGTCGCCTTGGTAACCTTTACCATGGCACAGAACGGCACTAAACGTCACAGTGACAGAGTTTGGTCCCAACAAAGAAGAACAAGGGGGACTGCCGTTCAAGCCGTGTGAATTAAATGACAGAACATCGTGATCTGGGGACACTTAAGGGAGAGAGCTACATTGTGATCTGGGAACACATAAGTGAGAGAGCTACATTGTGATCTGGGAACACTTAAGTGAGAGAGCTACATTGTCATCTGGGAACACATAAGTGAGAGAGCTACATTGTGATCTGGGAACACTTAAGTGAGAGAGCTACATTGTGATCTGGGGGACACTTAAGTGAGAGAGCTACATTGTGATCTGGGAACACTTAAGTGAGAGAGCTACATTGTGATCTGGGAACACTTAAGTGAGAGAGCTACATTGTGATCTGGGAACACATAAGTGAGAGAGCTACATTGTCATCTGGGAACACTTAAGTGAGAGAGCTACATCGTGATCTGGGAACACATAAGTGAGAGAGCTACATCGTGATCTGGGAACACTTAAGTGAGAGAGCTACGTTGTGATCTGGGAACACTTAAGTGAGAGAGCTACATTGTGATCTGGGAACACTTAAGTGAGAGAGCTACATTGTCATCTGGGAACACTTAAGTGAGAGAGCTACATTGTCATCTGGGAACACTTAAGTGAGAGAGCTACATTGTGATCTGGGAACACTTAAGTGAGAGAGCTACATTGTGATCTGGGAACACTTAAGTGAGAGAGCTACATTGTGATCTGGGAACACATAAGTGAGAGAGCTACATCGTGATCTGGGAACACATAAGATTTTAACTACAAATAATTTGTTACTTCTTTTTTTTTTTATTGTTTGCTGAAGAAGGCATTTAGCCGAAACACAATTTTAAATGTTCTGTCTTATTTATTTTTCCAAGCCTAAACATATCTTCTCCCACTATTCAAATATGAAGCCATCTTACGGAAATCCAGCAAACAGGGAATAACACGGATTCAAAGAAAGAAAATGAAATCTCACATCTCGGTCCCCATATCTCGTTACCCAATGGTCGTACGAGTACTTTGCACGCAAGCCACCAAATTATGCAAACAAAAAAATTATATAACGACCACGGCATGACTCCATGCTGGCGACATTTAAAGACTCGGATTTAGACATTTTAATGTTTACCACTCTCCCTAGTGATCAAGAGCGTTGATAGATTTTGTACCCTAACCGCATTACATTACAAAAAAAAAATAATAATAAAAAATTTATTCATTGTGTATGTGTCTTCTAGAGGTAAATACCAAGCGGGCATTTAAGTTATCAGTTTAGCTGTCCCAATCGTGTCACTTTCTGCCATGCCGCCTCTGAATGTACTTACCTAGACGATCCAAAAGATTGCATGATGGCCAAAATCAATATCCAGGTTGTTGCTGTCACATCAATCAATAAACAGTTATAATTGTCGTATCAATCAATAGTCCGTTATTATTGTCCTAATTTTTTATAGTTGACTGTTGAAATCGCCGAATTTCAACGCGTGTCAGGACGAGAGATCCCGACTTTTACAGCAACCACGCGTCTCAAAAAAATGGACTAACAAACTGCTCGAGTCAAATACTTTTAATGTCTGTTTTATTGTCCAGATAACGGACGGTCTGGGTACACCGTGCCCGGACTGAGACAAACAAGTGAATAGTTTACGGCCTAATCGGCTCCTTTGGGGACATTTAATGTTTGCTCTAAATCGTTCAATTATTATTATTATTATTATTATTATTTTTTTGCTTCTTGTAATATAAAGGGATGATAATATAATTCAATTTAGCTTCTCTGGTTTCAAAGGTAGGTTTGTTCAAAGGTAGGTTTGTTCAAAGGTAGGTTTGTTTAAAGGTAGGTTTGTTTAAAGGTAGGTTTGTTTAAAGGTAGGTTTGTTCAAAGGTAGGTTTGTTTAAAGGTAGGTTTGTTTAAAGGTAGGTTTGTTTAAAGGTAGGTTTGTTTAAAGGTAGGTTTGTTTAAAGGTAGGTTTGTTTAAAGGTAGGTTTGTTTAAAGGTAGGTTTGTTCAAAGGTAGGTTTGTTCAAAGGTAGGTTTGTTTAAAGGTAGGTTTGTTCAAAGGTAGGTTTGTTTAAAGGTAGGTTCGTTCAAAGGCAGGTTTAATCAAAATTAGGTTTGTTCAAAGGTAGATTTGCTTACAGGCAGGTGTGTTTTAAAAGCTGATAATGTATTCGTTTTTCATAATTGTTTTCAACTCATCGTCTATTATCAATTGTAGGGATTTGATGTGGTTTTTTTTTTGGTTTTTTTTTTTTTTTTTTTTTTTTTTTTTTTGGGGGGGGGGGGGGAGAGAGGTTTGTGTGTGGTGTTTTTTGTTTGTTTTTGGTCCCTGTGAGAAAAGGGTCGAGTGACAGTGACACATTCGTCGGTGAAAACATCCACATTTAGTGAAAGACAAATTTTGGTAATTATTCTGCGTATGCAGGAAATTTGATCGAAAGAAATTTCGTCGACGGTAAATTGATTGACGGGTAATTTGATCGAACGGAAATTTGGTCGAATCTTGTTTTTCTCCAGTTTTTTACCTTAAAATTTTGCTTCAGTTTTTTTTTGTTTAAACGCATTATTTTTTTTTACTATATAGTATAGTTGCGTTCAAAAAGAAATTTGACGAAAATTTTAACTTGTGAACTAAAAAAAAAAAATGATTCTACCAAATTTCCGTTCGATCAAATTTCCGTCGATCAATTTACAGTCGACGAAATTTCTTTCCATCAAATTTTTAAAAAAAATATTTTTTTAAATTTTTGTTGAACTCATTTTAAAATGCAGTGGTATCTTCAGCAAAGTGGTTTGGACAAGTCCTCTAAATTTAATAAGATAAGACTCAAGATGTGCTCCGATTGTGAACTCGGGTGTCGACGGGTATTCTAGCTAGTAGCAAGCACAATGAAAGCGCAAAATAGTTTTCACGATTGAACAAAAAAATTAAGAAACAGGTCTTAAAAAAACTTCATGTCGTTTACTCCTGTGTATGACTTCATTACGCAACGAACGAGACTTTCACTCCTCCACACTCCCTTCACTGACAAGAATTTGAGGATTGCCAGCGATCAGTAGCCATCTATGGGACACGCGTATTTTCGCTACTTCTTTTGTGTGTGGATGGATGCCTGGTGCTTTCAAATGATTTGTCTCATAAAGTCGGGTAGAGTTCGTTTTAGTTTTAGTGAATGTGCTTCAATATAACACGTCTTCTTCTGTTGTGAACACATTTTATCATTGGAAAAAAACAAAACATAATACATCATACATATGGCTTCAAACAAACAACATTTAATCCGACTAGTACAGTTCAGCCAGGGTTACTGTAACAGTGGCGTAGCTAGGCTTACTTGTAACCAGTGGCGTAGCTAGGGTTACTGTAACCAGTGGCGTAGCTAGGGCTACTGTAACAGTGGCGTAGCTAGGGTTCTTTGTAACCAGTGACGTAGCTAGGGTTACTGTAATCAGTGGCGTAGCTAGGGTTTACTGAAACCAGTGGCGGGCCAAAATTTTTGTACGCTCATTTCCGGCGCTTTGCCAAAAAATGCGGCCCCTCTACGAAGAGAAAAAGTTCTACATTGTGCCCCCTCCGCACCCATCCTCATACGCCACTGGTACAGACTTCATTATTCATATCCATTTGTAAATGTGTGGTAATTTGAGTTTCGTTTCGATAATTATAGCGCAACACGCTGCTTCAGTGATGATTGTTCAGTCGGCCGGTGGTGCATTCATTTGATTTAACGTTGTAAACATGGGTCTTAAACTAACGGCCCATTGGGCAAGGGTGGCGGCTCTAGTAGGGAGGGACGGGAGGCGATTGGACCCAACCGCTGTCATCTTAAAGGTGACGCAGAACTGCTTAGGTAGCGTTTTTGTTGTTGTTGCTGTTGTTATTATTTTCTTGTTTTTGGGTGGATGCGATCCGGAGATCTCGTATGCCTATGAGCATTTAATTTGTGGCCTGACCCTGCCTGCATGCCCTTCACCCCCACCAAGCTTTTCCCTGTGCCTACCCCGAATCCCCCCTCCCCCCTCCCCCAAAGTCAGGGGTCAAGTCCTTGAAAAAAGGTATGGGAACTCACCCAATATCCACTCTCTCCTGAATTAATATGTATTTGTCTCTTAGCTCACAAAAAGTACATGAACGCCGTTCTCGCACGTTCCTGTTTGACTCGATCCGTGTCCGAAATAGTTTTTTTGGCTTCATACTGTAATGAAAGGTGACTCTAAATAATAAGTTATGTGAAGTTGTTGTTGCGTCCCCTTAAATCGTCGAATCCTCCTCGTCTGGCCATTCTGGCCGTTTAATTATCCTCATGTGGTCCTCCCTTGCATTCCCGCCCCCGTTATCCAGAACCCCATGCCCATCAAATTCAACATATAGCATTACCCACCTCAATACATTTCCCATACGTCCGACCTACAGGAGACTCAGCGCCAAACCGCCCAACAGCATGCTTGTTGTCGAGATCCTTCTGCTGAGTTTATGTCTATGCTTGATATCATCGCCATTAGGACTTGAGAGCAAGAGATGCACGCTTGGGTGAGTTCAAAGTTCAACGTGTCACGTTTGTATTTGTGGAGGAAAAGGTTCCGAGCTGATGTTATCCCCCCCCCCCAAAAAAAAAAATAAATAAATAAATAAATAAATAAATGGGTGAATAAGGATAATAATTATTAGTTCTCATCTCCGAATGCTGATTGGTTGAAGGACCCTCTTGTGGTGGCTATCCTATGTGACATCCCAAATTCCTCTGGGGATGGATGCAGTGCTGTGCAATGACATAGGAAAAGTGGTGCGGAGGGGGCGGTCCGTTCCGGGCGGTACTTGTTGTCTTTTTATGTGGCAGGGGTGGGGCCATTTTCGGCCAAATGAAGAGTGGTTTTCTTGGAAGTGGGCGGCAAAACTCTTGGCCAGCCCCAGGGCGGCACACATCATATCGGTGTGTCTTGCAATATGAAAGGGATCCTTGGTTTGAGGGCATTACAGAGATATCTTTACATACTCTATGAGCACAAGATTCGGGGGCTTAGCCCTTAATGAGTCAAGATTTTTCCACCCCCACAACACACCCAAAAAAAAAAAAAAAAAAAAAAAAATACAGCAGCTCTGTCAATCGCCAATCAATATATTGAAAAAAGTGACGCCTGGCATGGAAATCCTCCCCGACTCTCTCTCTCTCTCTCTGGCCACATCCTCTTATGACTCTTGTTACATGATATTATTCTTGGCTTTGACAGTGAGAAAAATCAACGAAATATCTTTAAAGTGTTTCAGGTCCATTTTATATTTAGCATGTCCATTTCAAGAGACGTAATCTAATCTTTGTCGTCCCCTCGCCCCCCCCCCCCCCCCAAACAACCAGGGACCAGTGCCACTTCAACCAGCCCATGTGTGGCATGTGTGGAAAGCCCATCAACGTGACCCTGAAGGCCAAGAACCGCCTCCAGCCTCCCATGTTTACCATCACCGCCATCCTTGAGAACGTCCCTCAGCGACAACTGCTGTACTTCCTCGAGGATGCAGCCAACCAAGTCAGCACTTTCAAGTAGGGCTGTTATTTTGTGTGTCGTATCTAGAGACCGACCGAAAGTGATTTTCTGATTTCGGCCGAAGCCGAAAATAGGCCAAAAGTTTAAAATGACTCTCGGCCGAAACCGAAAAAAGGCCGAAAGTTTAAAAATGACTTTCGGCCGAAACCGAAAAAAGGCCGAACGTTAAACATGAATTTTGGCCTAAACGGAAGCCGAAACGGAAGCCGAAACCGAAGCCGAAACCGAAAATGAAATATTAAGATATTTTGAAATTCGTTCCGGCATACATTCTGCTTACATCGAAAATGATGTGGGAAAGTATAAATATTTACATTCTTTTTATAAAAATGAGATAATGGTAAATATTAATAAATAAACATCTAATTTAGGGGTCTCAAACTCGCGGCCAGCGAGCCATTTGTGACCCGCAAGACGATATTTTGCGGCCCGCTACAAGACAGAAAAGTTTAGTGTAAATGCGCCGGCCCGTTTCCCCCATTCTCATATCTATAACGTGACTCTCCACGACAGTTTCAGTCGATCTCACCGACTAATCTAATTCTGATTTTTTTTTTTAACGTCTCTATATATTTTTGTATGCCAGGTCTCTGGCAACAGTGAGTAGTTCTTAAGATCCCTTAATTATTTCATTGTTATTTATTTATTTATTTATTTAGGCATTTTTATATAGCGCTTATCATAAAGCTCTAAGCGCTTTACAATTATTAAAACATGTAAACTAAGTAAATACAAATGGGACACTAGGATAGTAACTACTATTCTATAGAAACAATGAACATGGCTATAAAAAGAGGACACTTTGACACTTCAGGATTAAACCGAAACAGAAAATTAGGTAGGGCAAGGAGGGTGCATCACAGGTCATAGGCGGACCTAAACAGATGAGTTTTAAGGACTTTTTGAAAATGGACGAGGTTTCACTATGACGTATATGGAAGGGGAGCTGGTTCCAGAACGTGGGCCCATGGAAGCAGAAGGAGCGTTCACCGATGGTCTTAGTTTTAGTTCTTGGGATTGAGAGGGTTCTACTGTCAATGGATCCCCATAATTTGAGTTTGATACCCTTGATCTAATGAATACTTTGGATTTTACCATTTTAATATAAAAGTTATTTAAATTGCTTTACAATTTTTTTCAAATTTGTATGGTAGGATAAAATTTGGCAAAAATTGGGGAGGGGGGGGGAGGGGAAATTAATGCAAAATATTTTTTTTAAAACCGGGTCTCTAAAAAATATGGTTCTAAAAGATCACTTAATTTGTTTTTAAAGATCGTTTAGTTGGTTTTTATTGATCGGTTAGTTTGTTCTTAAAGATCGGTGATTTTGTTCATAAAGATCGCTTAGATTGTTCTAAAATATCGCTTAGTTTCATCTTATAGATCGCTTAATTTGTTCTTAAAGATCACTTAGTTTGTTGTTAAAGATCGCTTAGTTTGATGTTAAAGACTTTTTAGTTTATTCTTAATGATCGCTTAGTTTGTTGTTAAAGATCGTTTAGTTTGTTGTTAAAGACCGTTTAGTTTGTTGTTAAAGATCGCTTAGTTTGTTGTTAAAGATCATTTAGTTTGTTATTAAAGATCGCATTAGTTTGTTGTTAAAGATCGTCTAGTTTTTGTTAATGATAGCTTTATTTGTTCTTAAAGATCGCATTAGTTTGTTGTTAAAGATCGTCTAGTTTTTGTTAAAGGTAGCTTTATTTGTTCTTAAAGATCGTTTAGTTTGTTCATAAAGATCGCTTAGTTTGTTGTAAATTCGCTTAGTTTTTTCATAAAGATCGCTTAGTTTGTTCTTAAAGATCTTTCAGTTTGTTCCTAACGAACATTTAGTCTTCTGTTAAGGATCGCTTAGTTTATTCTTATAAGTCATTAAAGATCATTTGTTTTGTTCTTAAAGATCGTCTAGTTCGCTCTTAAAAATCGTTTAGTTTGTTATTAAAGATCGCTTAGATTGTTCTTAAAGATCGCTTAGTTTGTTTTAAAGATCGTTTAGTTTGTTTTTAAATGTCACTTAGTTTGTTGTTAAATATCATTTAGTTTGTTCTCAAATATCGCTTAATTTGTTCTTAAATGTCGCTTAGTTTGTTGTTAAATATTGCTTTTGCTTAGTATTAAATTAAATATTGCTTTTGCTTAGTATTAAATGACCGAAAACATGAGTCATTTTCGGCCGGATGGCCGAAAGTCTAAGTCAATTTCGGCCGAAACCGAAGAAAAGCCGAAAGTTAACTTTTCTCTTTCGGCCGAAACCGAAATTAAGCCGAAAGTTAACTTTCCAGTTTCGGCCGAAACCGAAAATTGGCCGAAAGGGATAAAATGGCCACTTTCGGCGCCGAAACCGAAGCCGAAATTCGGTCGGCCTCTAGTCGTATCTGACCTCTGTCTGTGTCGGGGTAGACGGTGGGTCACAAAGGGGGATTCTGAGGGTCGGCCCTTATCACCGTTGGTTGAAAAGACTTCACGTCTTCCAGCACGCGCGTCTATAGGCAGTGAACACACACACAAACTCTGAGCAATTATTCGTGGGACGAATAATCTATGTGGGGAATGTTCTGTGTGTGAAGAAACCCGTTGGGGCCTATTTCATGTGTGAAGTCTTCGTGTGAGAAGTTATCCTGGGGTGGATTTTCGTGTGGGGAAGTTTCAATTGAAAATTTTCGTATGGGGGAATAATCCATTCCCCGCGCCTATCATATCGCCGTAAATGAATCAGTGAGAGATGTTTGCTTTGTTTTTGTTAAGAAAACTTCCACACATACGTTGACTTCACGATAGTGGATTTTTTATATTTTTATATTATTTTTTTTTTTAAATTTCAATTTCAATGATTTATGAGCGGGTTTGGTTTGGGGAAAAAAAAGGGGGGGGGGCAATGTTCCCTTTAAGCTACGCACAGCTAATTTCCACTTAAGGGTGTGTTTGTGACTGTAGGCTGTAAAATTTTGCGGACAAAAAAATTGATGCTGTAAAAATGTGCACACAACTATATGATTATGCACGCGAACCAACAAACCTTAGAGGGAACATGTCAATGTTCCCTTTAAGCTACGCACAGCTAATTTCCACTTAAGGGTGTGTTTGTGACTGTAGGCTGTAAAATTTTGCGCACAAAAAAATTGATGCTGTAAAAATGTGCAAACAACTTTATGATTATGCACGCGAACCAACAAACCTTAGAGGGAACATGGGGGGGGGAAGGGTATTTGAAACTGATAAAATAACCTGCTGTTATATTATGGCCTTTGTCTTAACCCACTTTCACTTCAAAGTAGAGCTAAAGAGTTGACAACTCCCTTCCCCCGTATGTGTTTTGAAATTGACGTCACCTAGTACTTACATGTGCCGTGTCACTTCTTACCAACCCCTCCCTTGAATGGGAAAAGCTTGTTTACGTTAGAATGCGTTCTATTTGTTCTAAAGAATGTTATCATGTGACCCAATTTCTAGAATTTCTTTAGTGAATGGTTCTGATTGAATCCCTATATTTAGGCCCGCAACTTTCCTAGCAGGGAGAGATATTTTTTTGCTACTTTCCCTGGACATATACGAGACGCTATTTAAGTACAAGACTATACGCTTCTTGTGTGATTGTGTAAAATAATGTTTGTGTTTTTCAAGACTTTTACCTTTTTCACTTGCTGTGCTATAAGTTGATACAGTTTTTCCCCCTGTATTTTTCAATTGTGAATATTTATAGAAATTTAATAGAAAAATGAAATAGGATATTGTCAGTATCACTAGCCTCAGTATGATTTTCCTGTGTACTGGTTTAAGTCCTTTGCTACGTATTGTTCATTCTACCGGCCAAATCTTAAAAACAGATAAAAATTTTAAAACCATAACGGTGCGTAACTCGACACGTCGGTATGTAACTCGTCTGCAGAGGCGTAGCGAAGGGGGGGGGACCAATGTCCCCGGGCGCAAGCTAGTTAGGGGCGCCAAAATGTGATTTAATATTATATTATGGGTAAAAATAATGGGTTTGAGAGTTGAAAAAAGAAAAGGGGGCGCGTTAAAATGGATCTTGTCCCCGGGCGCGAATCTTGTCCCCGGGCGTCAAACACCCTCGCTACGCCTCTGCTCGTCTGTACTCTTTCTCGAAACACTGCATGTTTTTGTTTTTTTTTGTTTTTTTTAAATTCCTTTTTTAAATTGATGAATGTGCAATAGATAGATGGCGTTTATTGATGGTTACAGGAAAAGAGTGAAAGTTGATAGGGTGCGTTGCATTAAGTACAAGTTGACCTCTTCATTAAAAAAAACGGGGGGGGGGGGCTAGCAGGGGGTGGGGGGAAGTACTTGTTCGTTTTTTATTGACCTTAATATTTGTGTTTCATTTCAGCAATTTGCGTCATTCCTGAATCTCACATGGCTCATGTGTGCTTTTATATATGGCTCATGTGTGCTTTTATATATGGCTCATGTGTGCTTTTATATATGGCTCATGTGTGCTTTTATATATGACTCATGTGTGCTTTTATATATAGCTCATGTGTGCTTTTATATATGGCTCATGTGTGCTTTTATATATAGCTCATGTGTGCTTTTATATAAGGCTCATGTGTGCTTTTATATATGGCTCATGTGTGCTTTTATATATGGCTCATGTGTGCTCCAGGGTTATGAAAATATAAATGTAAATCATAAATACAAATAATATGTATTCTAACTTGAAAAACGAATCGATCAACTCATTTTATATCCTTGTCAAAACAGTCAAACCGCACCTAAGTACTTTTTCTACTCTGCCCTTCAGACTTTCCCCCCTAGACTACAAGAATTGACAAAACTTCACCTCAATTGAAGAGTACAATTTAAGCCACACACATTTTTTTTTTCTCATTAGGTTCAAAACGACCTATTTTTCCGGTCTTGGTTACTATATCGAATCGATCAATAATGTGCCGGCGTCGATCTCAAACAATACCTACTGGCAAATCAATAGTGGTGGAATACCTTTAGATTGTGGTAAGTAATTTCGGTATTGAATAGTGGCGGAATACCTTTAGATTGTGGTAGGTAATGTAGTTTCAAATAGTGGTTCAATGCCTTTAGATTGTGATAGGTAATCCAGTTTTTAATTGCAATGGAATACCTTTAGATGGTAGTATTATAGGTAATCCAGTTTTGAATAGTGGTGGAATACCTTTAGATTGTGTTAGGTAATCCGGCTTTCAACAGTGGTGGATTACTTTTAGCTCGTGTTAAGTAGCACAGCTTTCAGGGATTATTTTGCTTAAGGTGGTGTTAAGGGCTGGATTTAAGATCGCAGCTATATGAAATGTGGAAGCCCATTTGCGGCCAACAAAAATCAACAGAAGATATCACATCTGTATACGAAACGTAGATTTAGGGTCGGCATGGGATCAAAGAAAGTTTATCCACAAATCACTGCTTCTCATGTCCATCCATGATACCATTATATTACCTCACATGTCATGTTTCATTAAAACGAGTTTTCCAAAATTTAGTATTTAAATCTTGAGTGCAAAATATTTGCAATAGCATTTGAACTACACGTCCTAGACCAGCGGTTCTCAACCCGTGGGTCGCGACCCCTTCGAGGGTCGAACGACGGTTACACAGGGGTCACCTAAGACCAACGGAAAACACATACTTATGAAGTAGCAACGAAAATAATTTGATGGTTGGGGTGGGGAGGGGTCACCACAACTTGGGGAACTATATTAAAGGGTCGCGCCATTATGAAGGTTGAGAACCATTGTCCTAGACCAACTGGCCCCTTTGACAAATGTTTGTTGTCTCCATCTCAGGTGTGTCCAACTATGTTCCAGAGTGCGGTGAGACAATTTTCTTTAATTTCACAACCTACGGGGACGCCGACCACTTCTAAGAAGGGGAGAAGAAAGAAAAAAAAAGAAAGAAAAAAAAAAAAAAAAAAAAAACCAAAAAAAAAAAATTATTGTGTACCGGTATTTCCATTCGCCGATCAATATCAGATCTACGTTCCTCAAAACGAGCCTGGAAGAAAACCGGATGTTTTAATTGGATCTTTTTTTTTTTTTAAGTAAACGTTAAGCAATTAACTCCAGCTGTAAAGCAGCCCTGGCCTGTACTCCAACATAAAAAAACATGCTTTCATAAAAATGATCATTCTTGCTTTTTACAATTTTTTAACTAGCAAGGAATGGGTTTTTGTTTTTTTTCTACATTTTTGGCCTGGGCTATCCGTGAGTCGTAACCATTAAGATGTAAAGAACACTAAATCAGCAATGGTCAATTTACCAAAGCTTGAGGACGTAAGACAATTTACTGGCATAGATAAATATGGGAAACAACTTTTTTTTAAACGAAGAAGAATTGACCCAAATTAACATCACGATATTGATGTTATTGTTATTATTATTATTATTATTATTATTTTGCTTCACACAACATCAAAAATAATATTTTATTAAAGACACCAATGACAACAAAATCATTTTATGGTTTTAAACATAGGAATATTTGAACAATTTCATGCCTTTAAAATTTTAAGAAGAAAAAAAAATTGTCACCTTCGTATGCAGAGACTATTTAAATTTCTACCCTATAAAATGCAACTGTTCAAAAAAATAATGTCAGCCAACCGAAATTAAAAAAAAAAAAAATCGGCTGGCAGTTCTTGTCTGGAGTTCAATCCCCACCAAAGCCAACATCCCAAGCACCCCAGGTGGATGGTACTCGTTAGCCTTGGGCGGCAACCCATCTAAGAGAAGGCAAACTCTGGCAAACCAGGAGCCAGAATGATCAACAAACTGATCGTGGGCCCCTCGACTATAAGAAGAAGAAGAAATCAATAGGACTTTTAGTTTTAGACACGTCAGAACTGCCCACTATACCAAACAAGATTGGGAGGTCTACCAACTGCCCACTATACCAAACAAGATTGGGAGGTCTACCAACTGCCCACTATACCAAACAAGATTGGGAGGTCTACCAACTGCCCACTATACCAAACAAGATTGGGAGGTCTACCAACTGCCCACTATACCAAACAAGGATTGTTTATTTATTTAGTTTTGGGTTGGGGGGGGGGGGATGTCATCGTACTACCCACTATACCAAACAAGATTGGGAGGTCTACCAACTGACCACTACACCAAACGAGATTTGAGGTCTACGTGCTACCAACTGTCCACTACACCAAACAAGATTGGGATGTCTTCGTGCTAACCACCTGTCCACTACACCAAACGAGATTGGGGGGGGGGGTCTTCGTGCTACCAACTGTCCACTACACCAAACGAGATCGGGAGGTCTTCGTGCTACCAACTGTCCACTACACCAAACGAGATGTGAGGTCTACGTGCTACCAGTTTTCCACCATACCGAACCTTTATATAGATTTGATTATATATATCATTTATCTTACTTTCTTAACAACTCGAAAACATCGGCCCCAGGGATTTCACAAGAAATCCTTGGGCACCTCGACAATTCCTGTTAACAGTAAAGAGCAACTCGTCGTCTCCTTTCAAATGCCCAAGCAAATAATGGACATCTGTTAATGATGATGTCTTCTTGGATATAACTTCAGTATGTAAAGGGCAGCTCTGTGTACTACAATACTTCCTTTTTGATATTCTATGGCAGATGATGGGCATCTGTTAACTATGATGTCTACAAATCTCTGTTTACCTCATGACATCTCCTTTGATATGCTGCAGTAAATAATGGGCATCTCTGTTTACCTCATGACATCTCCTTGGATATGCTGTAGTAAATAATGAGCATCTCTGTTTACCTCATGACATCTCCTTGGATATGCTGTAGAAATTAATGAGCATCTCTGTTTACCTCACGACATCTCCTTGGATATGCTGTAGTAAATAATGAGCATCTCTGTTTACCTCATGACATCTCCTTCGATATGCTGTAGTAAATAACGGGCATCTCTGTTTACCTCATGACATCTCCTTGGATATGCTGTTGTAAACAATGAGCATCTCTGTTTATCTCATGACATCTCCTTGGATATGCTGTAGCAAATAATGAGCATCTCTGTTTACCTCATGACATCTCCTTGGATATGCTGTAGTAAATAATGAGCATCTCTGTTTACCTCATGACATCTCCTTGGATATGCTGTAGTAAATAATGAGCATCTCTGTTTACCTCATGACATGTCATTGGATATGCTGTAGTAAATAATGATCATCTCTGTTTACCTCATGACATCTCCTTGGATATGCTGTAGTAAATAACGGGCATCTCTGTTTACCTCATGACATCTCCTTGGATTTGCTGTCGTAAATAATGAGCATCTCTGTATACTAAATGAGACTAAGATTTGGAGACTGGGAAACAATGGATCAACAAAAACAGTCTGTAGAAATGGTTAAGCAGGGACACACAATCTGTAGAATAGCTAAAAGGAGACAAACAAGCTGTAGAATAGCTAAAAAGGGACAAACAATCTGTAGAATAGCTAAAAGGGGACAAACAATCTGTAGAATAGCTAAAAGGGGACAAACAATCTGTAGAATAGCTAAAAGGGGACAAACAATCTGTAGAATAGCTAAAAGGGGACAAACAATCTGTAGGATAGCTAAAAGGGGACAAACAACCTGTAGGATAGCTAAAAGGGGACAATCAATCTGTAGAATAGCTAAAAGGGGACAAACAATCTGTAGAATAGCTAAAAGGGGACAAACAATCTGTAGAATAGCTAAAAGGGGACAAACAATCTGTAGATATAGCTAAACAGGAACAGTCTGTAGAAATAATTAAACGGGGACTAACAGTGTGTAGAAATAGTTAACAGGAACAATCATTCGTAGAAATAGTTAAATAGGAACAGTCTGTACAAATAGTTAAACGGGGACAGACAGTGTGTACAAATAGTTTAAACAGGGACACAAGAAATAAACACTGGAAATATTGACCACACGTTGCATCATAAATGATATGTTAACAGTTGAGTTTATTGGAATCCAGATGACAGAATATACAACATAAGTAACATTTTAGATTGTAACATTGTACATAAGTTCCAAAAGTACCCCATATAAAATTATAATACAGAGGTAGAGTTTAAAAAAATTCTAATTTTGCAGAAATCGAATCAGCAAAACATTCTAGATAAAGGGAAAAAAAAAAAAGGGGGGGGGGGGGTGTTCAATGTAGAAAGATGAAATTAATCTGATTAATCTGGTTAATCTGATATCCCGTCAACCCACATCAAAATACTGGCCATGGCCTACATATGCAATATTACTCAAAATGCATTAGTACACATGCACATTTTATATTTTTTGCATGTTCAAGCCACCAACAACAAATCAGCAAGTAAAAATGACAATTGATCTGGCAGACGTTCAAGATTTGTTTACACTAAAACATACAACCTTCGTAACACAACTGTTGAGCTAAAAATGTACAACAGTGGTCAAATAAAAAAATAAATTATTTTCAAAGTATTTTTTTATAAAACATGAGAGCTTACACGCTAATTAATTGTTTTTTTCTTTAGCAGCTATTTAGCTATGAATGAGAACATTATTTTTGATGAATTATTTCAATGAGCAATCAAAACACCTAACAAGGGAGGAAACTCTGTTCCAAAAATCAAAGTGCAGCTGGCACATAAATTCATCATTCATTAAGTAAAGCATAAATAATTGTTTGACTCTGAAAACGTACATATTTTTGGCGGAATGCTACAGAGACCAGATTTCTTCTAGTTAACATTTCCTAGTTTATTACTGAATGTAAGTAAATAAGGAAAAAAAATAATATAAATCAAATAAGATCAAACGCTCCTTGCTTGATTAAAGTAGAACAAGACAGAAGCATTTCAATGTGATCTATTCTTTAAGTAGATGACAAGTATAAACAGTCACAGACAATTCAGCATGGTCGACTTATACATAAATAAATTATATTATATATGACATAGGCTACATCCTGCCTTGCTAAAACCCTGAGAAATCAATGAATGAGATTACAGTTATAAACATATTCAACGCATTTAGGTAAGAGGAAATCCTTTTATTTTACAAAATCTAAAGCTTCGACACCCCCCCCCCAAACCACAAAGGGCTCAACACATTTTTTATGGGATTCGCAGAGCCAAAACGCTGAGACTTTAACTTATTTATGAACATTTTTTTATTATTATAATTTTTGAAGTGGCCATCCCATAACATCTAAAGCATAGAAAAAAATGGATGTTTTTTGCTCAAGTAGGGAGAAACCACTCATAGCCAATGACAGCTATTTTCATTGTTATTCCAACATAATTAATTATCATGCCCTCCTTTCATAAACATTTAGAAATTGGGTAAAAATTAGCTTTAAACAAATAAGTTGCAGGCTGAGGAAGTTGATCGGTATCAACTTAATGTAGAAAAACTACACAGTTTGGCTTCCCTGTGGCTTGGTCACATTCTTCATGAAATGAAAGCCCTGTTAAACAGGTTTCTGTTGTAACAGTTTGAGCACACTTGCACTAGAAAGCCAATCACACTTCACAGGTTTCACCAAACAATTTTAAGACACCCCCAGTGAATCAACAAAGATTGGAATCATGATACAACGTCATGACAAAGGCAGTTGCCATTGAACAGCATAGCTCAAAGAGTGCTGGTGGAATCGTCCATCCCCTTCTTTGTGCCGCATTGATTCTAAGTGGAATAGAATGACAGGCTGGAGTCAATACAAATTCAGGGATATCACTGGATTTATTTTTCTTCATACCTACCTACATACATCAAATATTTAAAGTATCTCTCTGGAAGATGTCATATTAATTTAAGCAAAAATTTTATAAAACTTTTTTGTACATCCCATAATGCATTTCACTTTAGGTTCAGTAATTCACTTTTATCTTACCTCCTCTTAAGAATAGCTGTCGTACTGGGCTGACTGATCAATCCCACGCGACTTTTTGCCCATGACTGCCGATTAAGTCAACCCAACCACTTCTTCCTAATTCCTCTTTTTTTTAAAAACGTTACAAAAGCCAGCCCTAAAGACCAATCTTCAATTGAAACATTTGTTTGTAAACATACATCTGTTTAAGCAATTTTTAACGGAAAATAAAATTGGATTATTTTTTTACACTTGTAAACTTGTTTTTTTTTTTTTTTTGTGTTTTTGTAACTGCTCAGTTGCACTTACAAAATATTTTAACTTTTCCCTTTGCCGACAAACAAATAAAACAGTTTTATTCAATTGAAACATTTGTTTGTAAACATACATCTGTTTAAGCAATTTTTAACGGAAAATAAAATTGGATTATTTTTTTACACTTGTAAACTTGTTTTTTTTTTTTTTTGTGTTTTTGTAACTGCTCAGTTGCACTTACAAAATATTTTAACTTTGCCCTTTGCAGACAAACAAATAAAACAGTTTTATCACAAATTAAGGACACGGCAGGTGTGTATTTGTGCTGTCCATCTGTGTATCTTCTCCGATGCAAGGCTTGTACAAACTTGGGTCCAAGCCCAGAAACTCCATTGCATTCCCAGCTAATATCTGATGCTGTTTGAAAAGAAAAAAAAATACATGCTTAAAGTTTGAGAATACATGTAAGCAAGGGAAATATCCCATTTTCAAAAATGTAATGTAAATATTGAATATGCTAATAAAAGCATTGTATCCTCAATTGTTTAGAAGGGAAAAGGAAATATATTTATTTTAAGAATTATCCTAAATGTACCTTCAGTTCAGGACTAAATTCTTCCATTGACTCAACTAATTTTCCTGGGTGCTGCTCCCCTAGAGGGAAGGGGTAGTCACTGCCTAAAACTATACGATTCTGTAGTGGATGATATAAAAAAAATGATAAAATGAACATTATCAGACAATAGAGTTTAGCAGCTGGATCTAATAATACATTTCAAGTGTTGAGTAGGACAAAATGGACCATTTTTATGACATTTTGCAAGAATACAAATAGCAGTATTTATTAAAGAACAAAAACAATTTTTTTCTTATAAATCCTTTATATTTATTTTTTATTTGATATTAATATTCTAATGACCCACCCGTTTTTACACCCCAGCTTCATTACACCAACTATTTCAGAAAATGAAAAGAAAATATTACACACCAAATGCACTTGCGAAATTTTTAAGAATCTCATTTAGCGCAGTTATCTGGTATTTTATTTCTTAAATCAGTGGCATCATATTTCCTTCATCTTCCCCTTGAAAAACAGGAAAAACTGATTTTGTGGGGTTGGGGGTTGGGGCTGAAAATTTGAAAGGATGTGTTGTCATTGGCAGCGAGTCGATGTGCCATGTCTCAGTTTGATAGCTTGACGGGAAGTGGGTCAATGAGACGTCCAAAGATTTTGCCACCCAACCAGAAAGAAACACACAAACAATATCAAAGTTAATATGAAAAGATTTTTTATTTTTTAAATTTTAAGTTACTCACAAGTTAAAAATAGTTTTCAACACATTATGATAATTAATGTAAAATAGTTAGAAAAATTGTTTTAGACTTTAAAAGGGTTAAATCTAAATTTGTTTCATAGAATTTCATACCACCGCTTCAGCCACATTAAAGTGAGATTATATAAGTTTTAACATCAATTTGTACAGGCAAAGATATTTCCATAACACATATTCTTAAAAAAAGCATTTTTAAATCATTCCCAGGTTTTTATTAGTAACAGGAAGGTGATTAGGTAGGACGCAAATGACATTATTATGGTACAAACAGGACATCATAATGTTGTGGTGCACATATGACACAATTAAGTACAGACAGGACCTAACAATAAAGTGCGTACAGATCTTGTCATCACTAAACAAGGTCACAGTAATACAACACTAAAGTAAAAGGAGAACCTTACCTTGCCAATGACATTGACCAGCAATTTGAGAGCCTCCGTGTCATGGACCAGGGAATCCGTGTAAATCTGACCCAGGTATTTCCTTGGGTTGACGTTGTTCTCCACCGCACACAGGTCAGGCCTGGAGTTGAACCCATGCTCTATTCTACCAATAGTGAAAGGAAAAGCACCCCCTGAGAAGAAACCAAAATATATATAAAGTGTTATTTTTTCAAAGAAAGCAAAGGCACTCTTAACAAAAATGATGAAGTACTCTGAATTGACAAAAGCACTGCTTTTAGACATGATGAAGCACTCTGAATTGACAAAGGCACTGCTTGCAGAAATGATGAAGTACTCTGAACTGATTATAGTTAGCATTAAGAAAAGCCTACGGTTGTTCAAACTTAAGCACACCCTTAATAAGACAACAAGGGAAGTGTTACACAATAATAGTTTCCAGGCAAACAAATGGAGCAATAATTAAACCTTGTGAAAATGAATGGGGCAATAATTAAACCTTGTGAAAATGAATGGAGCAATAATTAAACCTTGTGAAAATGAATGGAGCAATAATTAAACCTTGTGAAAATGAATGGAGCAATAATTAAACATTGTGAAAATGAATGGAGCAATAATTAAACCTTGTGAAAATGAATGGAGCAATAATTAAACCTTTGAAAATGAATGGAGTGAAAATGAATGGAGCAAAAATGAATCCTTGTGAAAATGAATGGAGCAAAAATGAATCCTTGTGAAAATGAATGGAGCAAAAATGAATCTTTGTGAAAATGAATGGAGCAAAAATGAATCCTTGTGAAAATGAATGGAGCAAAAATGAATCCTTGTGAAAATGAATGGAGCAAAAATGAATCTTTGTGAAAATGAATGGAGCAAAAATGAATACTTGTGAAAATGAATGTAGCAAAAATGAATCCTTGTAAAAAGATATAGAGAACCTACCTCCATGAGCAAAGCAGACTTTAAGTTTAGGAAATCTCTCAAGGACTCCGCCAAAAATCATGGAGCAAATGGCAACAGTCGTCTCTGTCGGCATGCCTGAAATTAAAAAAAAAAATATATATATAATTTGCTTTAAAATCATTTATTGAAATACCAGATACAAATGCAGAGGCTTACAAGGTTTTATGTGAATCTTTGAGTAAGTTTCTTATCTACCACAGTCAATGTATAATGTGTTTGTGTGTGTTTATTTGGGTGTGGATGACAGTTGTTGAAGGAGCATGTATCCTTGATGAACTTACCAAGGTAGACAGCATCTCTGATGAGCTTACCAAGGTAGGCTACATCTCTGATGCACTTACCAACTAACCATGGTAACCAGTTACCTATGATGCACTTACCAACCAACCATGGTAGCCAGTATTTCTGCATTCGTCCACCCTGCTCCATGTCCCAGGGATGTACAAATATCACACAGTTGTGCTCTTCAGCAGCCTGAAAGACACAAAAAATTCCAAGTTCAAAAATATTCTGGTTTCCTTGTAAACACATACTAAATTCTATTGGTGCTCATTTTCCCTTTGTTTTCAAATTGTAACATCTGATCTATTTCACAAACGGTTTCAAATACAAATACAAAAGTTTTCAAGATAAGGTGGTTGTACTAAAATGATCCTGAATAAATGTAAGCATTTTTTGTTTTAATTACAAGGACTGCAGAGAAAGGAGTGAATTCACTACAAAAAAAGAAAACAGATTGTTAACTCACAGCAAACACTTGCTGAAGTTCTGGAGCATCCAAGTTCCAGTTGTTGATATGAGACCCAATTTGAATACCTGGAAAACCTGAAATTCAAAATGATTTAGCCTTCTATATAAAAAAAGAAGTAGGATTGTGAATCTAAATGTGTTGCAAGTGAGGAATAATTTATCAAGCTACCAAGTCTTACCTAAAAGATATGAACATCAGAATTCAGTGCAGTGAATAAAAAAAAATATTTTTGATATCTATGCTCACAACTTAAAGCATGTTTAAAATAAACATACTAAATTATCTTTTCAATGGGGGTTAAATTAAAGAATAATGGAAATCAGGTCTGAGAGGAGACCTTCAAGTCAAAATATTTGCAGGAAATAAAAAATGAATGGTATAACATTTTAGAAAAACAGTTACCGGTAAGGTTAGCACTGAAGGTTAGCACATTGATTTGGGGGGCCTTAATGATTCCGATTATTTTCAGCCATAGACTTTCTGACAAAGCTATTCATGGGATTTCTTCATTTCAGTTTAAAACCTGAATTTTTCTAGAAAACTTTTCCGGCAACATACAAGCCTGAAATGGCCCCTCACCTTTATTTGTTTATGAATATTTGGTTATGAATATAAAAGCTTCAAAATATTTGTTAATTTAAAACCTGAATACTTTTGAAGAAAAAACCAGCTCACCCAATTCCTTCTTGCAGCGTATCAGTTCTTTGACAGCCAGTTCAGGTGCTTGCATGGGAACAGTTCCCAGACCAACAAAACGTGATGGGCAAGACTTGACAATCCCTGCCAGATGATTGTTTAACATCTCACAGAGATCCAGTGTGTCTTTTGGCTCTGCCTGAATACATGAATATAAAACTGAAGGTAGGCAAAAATATTTATGAAGTAGCATTTATTCAAAACATTAATAATCAGACATGTATTTAAATCAAGGCTGCAGTATAAACAAAAGAATACATGATTTTAACTACAGGTGCATGATCAAAATCCTCTGACAGTTGCCATTCTTGGATTGTTTTCTATTGCAAATATGTAGACCAAAATAAACAGGTTAAAAATGTCAACCCTGCTTATGCCAACTTTCACAGATTATGATTTAATATCGTTATTAGTATTTTACATTTAAAAAGTATTCAGCGTAAAAAAAACCCACCATAATTCAGATATGAGATTTAATAGATTTAAACCTATTTCAGAAAAACATCTCTATTTCTTTAACTCGGCTTGAACAACAATTTTTTATCTTCTATTAGTTAAAAAAAAAAATCAAAATAAAAATGAATGTTTTAACTTACCCAATATCCAAACATAACAGGCACAGTAGACAGAACCTGGATATCAACACCTGTTGAAATATATTAGTGTTTAAAAGTCAATGAACTTAAGCAAGCTTTTATTAAAGGAATAATGGCTTTAAATTAAATTAAGGCAACATTCTTTCAAATATTTATGCTTTCTCTTTATAAATAAATGTCCAAAGTCAAATATTTTTTTACAAGTATTTAGAGCATTTAAAAGAACATTAATCCACAAGAATTTAAGTCAATCTTAAACTGCAAAAAAACAGAAGGCAAAGATTTAACAAATATTTTTCCACAATACTTAAGATTAGAGACTGACCGAATTTTGGCTTTGGCTTCAGTTTCGGTTTCGGCGCTGAAAGTTGCCATTCGATCACTTTCGCCTAATTTCAGTTTCGTCCGAAACTGAAAAGTTAACTTTTGGTTTAATATCGGTTTCGGCGGAAAGTAATTGAGAAGTCAGACTGTCTGCAGGCAATCAGATATTAATTATTGCTCGACGTCTTGCTGTCATTGTATGTTATATGATAATTACTCTGCAAAAATTGCTCACAGCTGTTTGATGACTTAAATTGTCCTATATTTCCAAACAATTAAAATTTCAATTAGGCCTAGGCAAATGCAAACAGTTTTGTGGAGAAAAACTAATGGAATGGTAATATTTATAGCATCATTTTTTTGTTTAAAAAATTGAAACCCTAGGTTTATTCACTTCATTCATTTGTGATATTCATTTTGATTTATCATTATCATGCTCATCAATGTTGTCATAGGCAAATGTGAATAATATTGAATAATCCTAGGAGTAGGTAATATTTCCATAATAATTTTTGTTTCATTTTTTAAAACATTAAGGAAACAGTCCTTTTCATTTCATTAATTTCTTGAAATTCATCATAATCATGCTCGTAAGCATTGTTATTGAAGAAATAGCACAGGTGTGCATGTATCCTGGGTCGTATTATAATTATGTAGTAGGCCTACTGCAAACCTGTTTACTTTTATGATTTTGGCAACAATTTACATGTATTTTGCAAATATCCGTTGACACCCGTCAGATCAACAATTTTAAGAGAACGGGTTAAAAAAAAAATCCCCTACCAATGGGGGTGAGGGAGGTTGGTTGCTGAACCAAATAATTACGTCACCAGCACGGAAAGACGAGTGTGTTAGTACTAAGCTAAATATTAAAATAGGGAAATGTTGCCAGCTATTTATGAAAACACAAAGCATTAGTATCACAAAGCGATAACCACGAAACATTGTGATGATATTTTGATAGCCTTAATAAATGATATTTAGGTGACTATTGACTCTATTAGAGCCAAAATAATTATTGCAGGTAGTATTAGGTATATGTTCTAGATTGTAGTTACCGGTATGTCATAAAAGCAAAGGGCACTCAAGGGTCTTTATTTCATGAATTTTGCCACGCTCCCCGTGAGTGTGAAGTAGGATTAGTGTAGAATACTTCAACAGGAAATTAATCGTACCCTAGACATAGCCATAGTAGCAGTACTAATCTAACGTAGAGGAAGGGACCTTTGTTTGTTTATCCAAAGTATTCATTAGATGTTTATTAAAATTCACGATGATCTCGTTTTTTATAAAAAGAATGTAAATATTGATACTTAGCCCCATCACTGTATGTAGAGTGTATGCACGAACGAATTTCAAAATATATAAATAATTTGGTTTTAGCTTGAGTTTCGGACAAAAGTCATTTTTAACTTTCGGCTTCAGCCAAAATCAGAAAATCACTTTCGGTCGGTCTCTTCTTAAGATATTTTACTTGCACTGGTACTTTCTATTATTTTTTTTAAAATTTAATTTTACCATGTGCATCCATTTCTTTAATTCGTGCTTCTGGTGACCAACAATTCTCTTCTATCTCTCTGAAAAGTTTTCCATCCTTCATCATCTTAGCTCTCCCCGCACAATGGTGGTGCAGTTGCACCCAGCCACCATAACCATAACGCTAAAGATAAAATGTCATTTAATGTAAATTTTGATGAAAAAAATAAATTGAACAGAAAACATTATCTAAGAGCAGCACAATCCATGAATAAAAAATATTTAGCCTACTATCTGAAATGTACCTTTATGTTATAATTTTTTTAATTATTCATATATGTTAAAAAATTTTTCACTAGATCATTTATTTAAACCTAGGCACACTGGCAATGCCACTTTCCCCCCCCCCCCACCCACTCTCAATGGAATGCTAATGCTGCTCATTGCATTTGGCTTTTCTCACCAAGTTCTTCTTAAGTTTTTTTAATTATTCATATATGTTTAAAAATTTTTCACTAGATCATTTATTTAAACCCAGGCACACTGGCAATGCCACTTTCCCCCCCCCCCCCACCCACTCTCAATGGAATGCTAATGCTGCTCATTGCATTTGGCTTTTCTCACCAAGTTCTTCTTAAGTTGTTTTAGTTTTAGTATAGCGCATATAACTTCTTACAAATTTGAGTGACTTATATGAGTAAATACCTTTGCTAAATGTTTAGCTTCCATTTTATTTCTATGACTTAAGACAAATTAGGAATCATTTAAATTATGCTTTTAAAATGCTTTACAATTATCCAAATAAAAATAAATGAATAAGTGCGTGCCAACTATTTGATAAATTTTAAAGACCATAATATTATCTAGAGTATCACTTTTAAAACAGCTTTAATTTTAAATTAATAAACTAGTCTATTGCATTGCTGCTTGCATCACACACACTCAGAATGTCAGTATTTACTTTGGGTATTAGTTAGTATTTTTTTAAGTATACCATTTGGTCTAAACATATTCTCTTATAACTTATACACATATATACTATATATTTTGCTTCTGGTATGTCCTGCTTCCCTTTCATGGCCGGCCCTCCCCTACTCAACATGTCTTATATTAACAGTGCTGAGTAAATAAAAAGCTGTCACACAGCAAACGTGATTCGTCATTCGTGATGGTTGAACTGGTAAAAAGGTTGAATTTTTTCATTCTAATGATTCTAATGAGTTAATCAATAAAGAGTCACGGACACTGGTGTGGTGTTGGACTCTGTGTAAGACTGTTTGTAGGACTGTCTGCAGCCCTTTTGTTTTATAGAAAATGAGAAGTTAACTCTTTTTTTGTGTAAAATTTTGACCCACGGGGTATTTTCTCAAAATACCCAGACCTAACCTGGTGTAAAAAAAACTGCCCCCCCCCCCCCCCCCCCCCCCCCCCGTTAAGCCTTAGCTATTTATAATTAATAGTATATCGGTGATCGGATATAGGCCTATAATATGATAAATGAATATGATAAGATGGCATAGTCTAACTTACTTAGTATAATACTTAGAATTAAAACTTAGAGGCTAAATTAAGAAACTTAATCTAAAAATTACATTAGCGAAAGCAAGCAGCACTGCATGCCTACTTCTTTGCTAATTTTTAATAATAGAATTATGACTATAAACAAGTTTTAAAATATGACTGTCACTGCAATAAAAAGGGATGGGTCACCTCTTTTAAATCTGGCCAGTTTTCTGGTAAAATATGAGTATGGAGATCTATTTTCATTGTGATTTGTGCCACTTTTTAGAAGGATACTCCGTAAACTCTCTTGCGTGGTTAGTACAGAATAGTACAGCTGATGTTATTTGCCAACAGGAAAACACGTACTAAAAGACCTTCACCCCATTAACAACCAATAGAAACTGTGGGTGTGTTGTCTTTCTGTTCAAGGTTTGTGATATTTTTTTTTAATTTTGCAATTATTTAATTACTTTTTTTTACTCTATTCTAGTTAATAATTTACCACTGAATAATATTTTATTTCTAATGATTACTGGAATGTCAATTTTATTGAAACAACGAACGGTAACTCTATTAATTTAGAACCGTAGGTGCTAATAATAGACTGATCTGTCTCATTTCATTCAATTCACTCTGACACTTACAATATTTTAAAAAATTGATTTAAAATCGGAAGACTAATTAAGAGATTGTGGAAAAAAAAGTTAATCGCGCGCTTTTCCAATGATATATTCCACATTTTACTTGTTTCATTAACACTTATAAGCATATATTTTTTGTGTGTGTGAACAAGAAGTGGGGGGAGGGGTACATTATTCTACTATTGAGGAATATAAAATATCTTTCAAAATATTCCTTGACTCACATCTGAAGTAAACATTAAACTCATTATGACTCTGATAGCCTGTCACGAATTCAATCATTTGTTTGATTATGTCCCTTTGATACGCCCCTATGTACACATGTGAAAAATCAAAACACTTTTGAGTCGATGGATTTATAGATTTTAAAAAAAAAAAAAATGTGGATAGAGCAGTTCCCTTTTCTTGCATAAAAGTAAATACATGTGTTATAGTGTATTATTCATTTACAAAAAAAAACAAACAAAAAAAAACAGCATGCTATGTTTGACCAACATTAAACTTTTGTTGCAAGGCCAGGGGGAGGACGTTTCCACTAAGCTAAAACCTAACACAGCCCTATGGACTATGGAAGAACACTGTCATTCATGCATTATGGACACGTGTGTATCGGTTACCTGTAATGCTGCCCATAATCTGGTGCATGTATCCCTGCGTGTGTGAGTAGAACACGTAACGCCACGTCGCCTGTTGTGTGTTAAACCAAAGACTAGGATTTTGTTGTCCTGTCATCTCGTGACCACAGTTTATACTTCCTAGTGGGATTTCAGCCTGAGCTTTCTTTAGAAACTTGGTGAGTCAGACTGGGATTTTTTTTAAAACGGGAAACACCTGGGAATAATTATGTTCGAAATAACTAAACACACTCATTCACACACACATTAATAAAAAAATATTAAAAAATAAAAATATTTAAATAATAATAATTTTAATCACATTCACGTCCCATCCAACTGTTGTATTTTTGTGGCAGCAGCAACTTAATTATAGGCCTCATATTTTATAGAACGTTTATACGCTACCGTCGCAGCCAGCCTTCTGGAATGTGAGCTCCAATGATCGAGTGCGTGACACCTTCAAATATATTTGTAATTACAGATTAAGGCACCGTCCTCAAGAGAGCGTATATTTGTTTTAAGGATTCGGAAATGGCTAGACCCTATGCAGCACAACTGACTTACGGGTGATGTGATCGCGCGGGGGAGGGGGGGGGGATACATGCACGAGCCCAAAGTGTTATTTATATATTTTCATTGCCGTAGTGATGGTAGTGATACCGTGGTGTTTTGATCAATATTAAAGTCACATCCTTAATTTTTTTTTTTTGAAAGACACAACCTAAGTAAGGTCATTTGTTAAAGTCACTAGAGCGTCGTGTTTTCATAAGGTCACCGTGGGTTAATGATTGATTTGGTACTTTTAAAGTTCAACCACGCGTAACCAACAGTAAACGGCTGTACTAAGCAAAGGAAAAAAAATCAATGTAATAAATTTCAGCCACTGGCTCTCCTTGTCATTATGAGCTTTAACTGGTCCTCTCCATCCATAAAAAAAAAATAATTAAAAAATATTAAATTAAAAGAAGAGAAAAAAAGTTTATGGGTCATCTTTAAATGACGTCACAAATCAATCTTTTTAGTGTTTAACCATTAATTTGTATTGCTGCATGTGGGTCGGAAGGTCGTTGAAAATAGAACTGTATGTATATAATGTGATGGTGGTCACATCAGCTTTAAGGGTGACAAAAATGACCTTATATTGTTAGATTAATATGGCCACGAAATAGTTATGACTGATTGATGGAGTTATCTGGAAAAAAAGGGGTGGGGGGGTCGGGTGAGTGATGAGAGGGGCGGCCCGAGATCACAGGAGAGTAGGACACATATATTCACACCACCACTCTACCATAATTATAGTTGATTAGTACTGGCATTGGACGAAAGCCCTCACTAGTTGAAACTGGGAAGCCATTGCGTGAAGGCCTCACTAGTTTAAACTGGGAAGCCATTGCGTGAAGGCCTCATGAGATTAAACTGGGAAGCCATTGCGTGAAGGCCTCATGAGATTAAATTTGGAAGCCATTGCGTGAAGGCCTCATGAGATTAAATTTGGAAGCCATTGTGTGAAGGCCTCACGAGTTGAAGGTGACATTCAAATAAAAGTATGCCTTGCGTCTTTTAGTCCATTTCTTTGTGTTACTTTTGATCGAAAATGCCGCCCACCCCTATGTAGAGAAAAAAAAGAGAAATGGACTAAAAGACGCAAGGCATAGGTGACATTCAAATAAAAGTGTGCCTTGCGTCTTTTAGTCCATTTCTTTGTGTTACTTTTGAACGAAAATGCCGCCCCCCCCTATGTAGAGAAAAAAAAGAGGGCCCCCCCCCCCCGAGTGCGCAGCTCCTACGCCACTGTACAGCTGGACTGTTTCATTAGTAAGACAACAGAAACAAAAATCTCTTGCCGAGGCCAAGTCGAGGTAAATGAGAGGACCAGTCATGGAGAAAGAAAAAAAAAAGAGGGGCGGGGGCGGGCGAGGAAGTAGGGAGGAACATCTGTCGCCATGAGCTGACGCAAGCGATCAATGAACATTAGCGGACATAATAGACCACCGGGTGCCATCAGTCTTTCCAATGAAGCGTCTGTAGACGCTTGTACTTGTGTAGTTAAAAGTATGGATTTTAGACAGAAGACAATTAAATACAGTGACGACTGGTTTTGGGGACTTGACGTGAATCAAAATCTACGTCATGGGAGGCAGCTTGGGGGCTGGTTTTTTTTTTTTTTTTTTTTTTTTTTTTTTTTTTAATTTTTTTAAAATTTTTTGTTAGATTTTTGCCGACAAAAAAGTTTTAAATTTAAACACAAAAAAATTTAAAAGAAAACAAAAGTTGAAAATGTTTTTTTTTTTTTTTTTTTTTTTTTGTTTTCAATATTGATAAAATATACTGGTAGATTTATGCCGACAAAACAGTTTTAAATTTCAACACAACAAAATTTAAAAGGAAACACAAGTTGAAAATAATCCGCGCGTGGGGTTGGGGGTGGGGTGGGGGGTATTTCGACGAGACCACAAATACTGTTTTGAGATTCGACCCCTGACCTCCGATAAAGCATCAAAAATACATCAGACTGATGATCACTGTTTGAGTAGCTGCAGGGCTGCCAACTCACTAAAAATAAAATGTACAGAAAAATATGTCTGAACCTTCACAATTTTACCGGAAGAACAAATTTACGGACGAACAAATTTAAAATGTCAATTTGATAAATATTTTGAGTTGAAAACAATTTAAAATTTATATGTCCGTAATGAATGACTATATTTAGACATAAATATCCATGTCTCCCCCCCCCTCCTCCTCCCCACCCACCACTTTTTTTCTTCTCTTTCATGCAGAGCACCGTCTCCGACCAGCAGGTGCTGGTGTCTTGACCAGAGCGGTCGTAACATTCCAGTTCCAACAGATGAAACTACAGGTGGGTATAAGAGAGCTATGAGCCCAGTCAACACCCTTTGGATCGCAGAGGGGCCGTGTGGCCCAGCACCCTTGGCCTCGGGACATTACTCGTTCTGGTTCGCTGGCCAATTCGTGAATGCCAACACAACAAAACTCAGTCAACGCCCTCCTCCTCCGTCGTCTGACTGGTCTGATCCTTAGCTTGGCGGGCCGTGGAAATAAGTCAAAATTTCAGTTTGAAATCCCAGCAGATAACGTGACGTTATCGGTTGTCAACACCGGCCGCGTTGCGCCGTATCAGAAGGGGGGGACGAAACTCTCGGGGCAACTTCCTTTCAATCAGCTGTTGGTTGTTGTTCCTTCCTGGCTTCACTGCTGCTGACGCGAGCGCAGGGGCGAGCCGCTTGTTTACCGTTCAGGCCGTTGGTAGGTTTTTAAAGCTCCAGTTCGTGACGGAAAGTACATCGAACGACAAAAAAACATGAACGCACTGGATTAACACTAAACAGTTTCAAAACACAGGACCACTGTAGTACAGCACGACGCAGGGGGAAGGATGTGTTTTTGCGCATAACACACAACGATCGCCAGCCCCGAGTTAGACTTTGACACCTGGTAAGTTACAGTAAGTTATTTTATTCAAATCGACTTCAGGAATGTCAGGTATGTCTGTGGCTAGATATTCAATTGTGTGTGTGTGGCTGATAAATTGTTTTTCGCGTATCTCTGCATGTTGGTCTTTTTTTTTAGTTGCACAGCGGCACGGTAAGAGTGTAGGACTAGTAGTAGGAGCCATACTAGCATGGCTCATTGATCAAGAACAGTGATTAACTGAGTGAACTGGGATATAAACTTCCATTATTGAAATAAATTAAAGTATACATTTTATAAAGCATGGCCCATAGTATTAAAACGATACATACACGGCCCTGCATTCTCCGTTAATAACAAGTTGAATTTATACTGACGATGAGATGAGTGTGAGGATTACTGGTATCAATCGGAATCGGTTTAGGCTTTAGGAGACGCAGACGTAGCCTGTGTAATTATTGTAGGTAACAGATGGTGAAGTCTGCACAGTAAACGATAGAGTCGGTAGAGGAGGGTTGAACAAACTATATCAGAAATTGGCCAGAGAATGAAATAATAATAGGCCTCCCCTTCTGAAATATGCCTGTGAATATATTGGCCTCCTCATGTGAAATAGGCATGTGAATTATGAATAATGTGAATTATGAATATATAGGCCTTACCGTGTGAAATAGGCG